AAATCTATATTTCATTCATTGCATTTTTACTTCAAGATAAGTTACTAATGTTTGGCTTAAAATTAATAGTTATTGGGGTCAGCAGGTGGCATGGAGGTAAGGCAGCTGGATCTCACATGATTGACTGCAGTTTGAGTCCCAGACCTGGAGGCTTGAAAATCATGTGGGATCCATGAGCATGCATACCCAAAATTCCAGTAGGAGAATGGAGGAGAAGGAACAGAGATGTAGCCATCCTCCCAGGTGGGTGATTTCTCACTTTCCTTCTCTCTGTCTCTCTCAAGTGAGTACACATGTCCTATGGTAAAAACCTTAAAAAAATTAATTTCAGATTTTTCTTTCTTTCTCTTTTTTTTTGGGGGGGGGCGCGGGAGGATTTTGCTATAGGTGCATGCACTTTCCAGAAAGACAGAGACAAACAGAGAGACAGAAAGCGAGAAATCATCCCCCAGGGGGGATGGCTACACCGCAATCTCTTCTCCTCCATTCTCCTCTTGGAATCTTGGGCACGCATGCACACGCGCGAGTTTAAGCCACGGGGTCCGGGACTCAAACCATGGTTGACTACATGGGAGTCCAGCGACGTAGCCATTACGTGATCTGCTGATCCCCAGATTTTTATTTCTAACAGAAATACTTTGGCTTTAAAGCCAGGAACGGGAAGGATTGTATTATTTTCTTCACAAAAGTTAACACAAACTGCAATTGGGGAAGTCACGTTCAACAGGTTGTGAACAACATTTTATGATACTTTTGCTTTCTTCAAAATCACTAGTCCTTTAAGTAAGTTGAAAACTTAAACAAGCCTGATGTTAGGGAGCTCCCACAAGAAGGACTGGGTCCTCACTTGGGCACCACTTACCATGAAGGGAGATAACAATTTCACAAAACCAAAAACTACTGAGACATCCTTGGCCTCTGACAACTTCATATCTGAGAAATTACTTTTCTGGGTTTTGTCTGAACTGTGGTGTTTCCCCAGGGAGTTAGAAATGTCTGGCCAGTCCTCTCAAAGCTCAGCCATCAGGAAGGTCTGGTGGAAAATGTAATGTGGGTCTCCTTCCCAAGGCCCAGGACAACGGGTGGCCTGAGATGCCTGGAAAACACTGCTCACTTCCGGAAACGTTTTCAGCAGAACGAGAAAAACTGCTTGAAAAAACTCCGATGTGAATATGCAACTCTCCCCTTGATAGGTGTGCTTTGGTTCTGGTCGATGGGTATTACGTTTTGGTCTATAACCAAGACCGTAGTCTTTGCCAGCAATGTCCACAATCCCACCTGCTCCCTCTGCAGCCCACTCCATCTCCATCCTCCCGATTGCTGGGCAGCTGCTTCTTTGAGTCCTGTTTCTCTTACTATCATCCACTAGTTCATGAGAAAATCCCCTCAGCTCTACCGCACACACATCCAGAACTGCTCTTCATAACCTCCAATGCTACCATGTTGACCTAAAGCATAATCACCTCTTGCTTAGACTACAGCAACCACCTCCTCACGGATAGTCTTGCCTTTGCCCTTGTCCTCACGGATAGTCTTGCCTTTGCCCTTGAGGACAGTCTATTCCTTGCACAAGCTGGAGTGACCATTACAAACCCAGCCACACCGCATCAGCCTTCTGCTCGAATCCACAGTGACTCCTGTTGGTTTAGCAAAGCCAGCATCCTTAAATCCTCATCAAGACTTACAAGGCCTCCTTCATCTTACCTTCCACCCCATCTCTGGCCACCTCACCGACCTCAGGCCATGTGCTAGTCCTCAAGGGCTCCGATACAACCCCAAGGTCTCTTTGCAGGTGCTGCAAACATATCAGACACACCCCCATTTACAATACACACCCCCACTTACAAAGCACACCCCTATTTAAAGGTCCTTCACTTGCTGTTCCTTCTGCTGAGGACACCCTTCCCCAAGTTCCCAGAGGACCAGCTTGCTCCCCTCCCTCAGGACTGACTCAGAAATTACTAGCCTTTCCTGACCATCATCAAAAGTTTTTATTTTTATGATTTTCTGTTTTCTACATTTAAAACAAGGCTGCAGTTTTGGTTGATTTTGTTTCCCCGGGTTTAAATCAGTGGCAATTACATAGAGGCTCTTAAGAGAGAATTATTACTTTTTACTTATTTTTTTTTAATGCCAGAGGGCACATGTACATGTCCTATGAGTGAGAGTGAGAGAAAGAAAGGGGGGGAGAGAACACTCCTCAGTGGAGCCTGGTTATATTACAATACCTTTTCCTCCAACCCCCATCCTCTCAGGATCTTGGACACATGTGCACACCTAGTGTAAAGCTGATGGGGTCGTGATTTGAGCTCTGGTCAGCCATTTTCATTCAGGTACCTCTACACAGCACTTAACCACTCCACAGGGCCAGCCCAATATGCAATTACTGAGTGAATCAAATAATTAATAAATGAAAGACTCAACCTATCTTGTACTCACATTCCTTTTAATCAGTGGTAAATCTCCAAAATTACAACTTTTCACATTCAAAAGCTATTTGTGAATTTTTACTTAACTGTGCTCTTGTAAGTAGGAAATCAGGTGGTTCTAGACTGAATCATGACTGATACGGTACCAAGTACATAGAACGAGGCTTGGAGTCTGACAGCTGCAAGATTCCTCATCTCTCAGAGACATCAGACCCGAGCTCCACACACTTCCCAGGCAATAGTTGGCTAATTTCTAAATAGGACATACAATCTTATGCAACCCAAGTGTTTACGCAGAGTTACAGAATAATTTTAAAATCAAAAACCACCAGCAGCAATCTGCATAAAAAATTAAATGAATATTTAAAAGCACACATTCTAAACAAACTAACTCCAAACATTAAAAGTTACCACTGTAGCCCTCAAATGATGAAGCTTCAACTGCACATTGACTTTTCAGGTAGCAAAATGACTTGTGGCCAGAGGAGCTGAGGAACAGATGGAAATGCGGAGGAAAGCATAGGTACGTGGGAACGTGATGAGCAAATGAAGTTCCCTTCTTCTGGCCAACGAACACCCCCCCCACCAGCCCCTGTCACACACATGTGCACATCACACCAGACCCTTCAGACTATTCATTTCAGGCATTAGAGCACAAGCTATTTTCACCTTGCAGTTAACCCTTAAATCTGTTCTTTGAGTCAATGATTTAAGAAACTATTGGACTCTTTTCTGCTGTATTTCCAGTTCCCCAACTTCTCTTCCAGCCCAGCATTTGCAGTCCTGTAGCCACACTCCTGATTTACAATGAAGCGATTTAATGGAACATGCAAGTCTACCACATCGAGCCAACAGGAGGAAGAGGAGGAAGCTATGATTCCTGATTTCTTTCTCCAGGTAGGGCCTTTAGCAAGTCACCTGCACTGCCAAAGCCTCAGCTTCTCTTTTCTCTCTGACAGCGACTTGGCTGAGAAGGGTTTTGGGAAACTTTAGTCTCCCACAAACATTACCTAGTAAACTTATTTTATAGACTTGTATTAAAAAAATTCAGTACCTGTTCCCCAGCCCCGCTTCCAACTGGATTATAGCTCCTGAGTGTTACATCGTGGATATGAGGGGACTTCAAACAATTCACAGAAACGTGGAATTCAAGTACAAGTTTCTTTTGGTGCAAAAAAGTTTGAAATCCTCCACAGAGTTTTTTTTCTATGCTATGTGTTTTACATGACCTTTTCGAAGACCTTTTGTATTCTGGTACTAGCACTGTTTGGCACGCATAATTGTCTGTCTCTAAAATTCTGTGAAGGGAGAAAGGCAGGGAGTGAGAAAGACTGCTTATTTCAGGGGATGCTCCTTGGCCACCTTCAAGTGCAGCAGGTCTCTGGCCTGTGTCCCACCATGCCAGGGCAGCCCATGCTGCAAGGGCAGTGCTGAACCCAAGGAGCCTGTGGTCACCCACCTCAGGCATGCAACCAGCTCCTTTACCTTCACAGTTATCTCTTAGTGTCAGAAAGGAGACAGGAGCACAGTGTCTGTCACTAGAGTGACACAGTTACCAAATACTTCTGTAATGGAAAAAAATCCACAATATCCACAATAAACCGGGCGTGTCGTCAGGTTTTAGGAGACAAACATTAGCCTTTCAATCATACTGTCTTGTGTAAGCTGCACAAATGGCTCTGACAGCTGAGAACCAGCAGACTGCTGGGTCTCCAGTGGCCACAGTGACCACTTAAACCGGGTGTGTCGTTAGGTGTTTTAGGAGACAAACATTAGCCTTTCAATCATACTGTCTTGTGTAAGCTGCACAAATGGCTCTGACAGCTGAGAACCAGCAGCATGCTGGGTCTCCAGTGGCCACAGTGACCACTGAAATGTCGCCTCCTCTGAACTGACTGAGGAAAGCAGCCCCTCCCCACCAGCCTGGCCCCCTGTGCCCTATAAAAGCAGGTAGCATAATCCAAAGTCTTCATTACTGATTACTTTGTCCCCACTGCAGCATTCTGTGTAATTCAAGCAGGGATGGGGGTGTCCTGCTTTTCCAATGACTAAATTTCAACAAAATGTACCAAGTTCCAGCCAAAACAAATGAGTAATAATTCAAGGCAACACGTATCATTGGTTATTTTCCCACTACGACTGAAGCCAATGTAAACCGAATGTCAGATCTGAGAAAATCCCTTACTTTCTCTGATGTGTAAAGGTGATCACATAAACACTGCGATTGTTATGCACTTTGCTTTTTTTCTGGAGATAATCAACAGGTCTCTGTACTAAGTTTGCTTATTTATGTGATTTAGTGTTCAGATAGGGGAAAGAGCGACACAGAAAAGAAATGAGAGGACGGGGTGCTGCAGATTGGGAGAGCGACCGCCTTACCCCTGGAAAGAAGTGACTGATAGATTTCAGGCAAAATGAGAAGCCTTGGCATCCTGTCTTGCAGACACTGAAAACTGTCCCAGACACGCCCAGCCAGCTTGATTTCGGCTCCAGCCCAGCTGTCGCCCCCAGCCCGCACGTTCCCGCACAACGCGCCCAGGTGAGCCGCGCCACGGGGCGGCGGCCGTTTACCTGCCAGGCTGCCCGGCCTTTGGAGGGTGGCCGTGGCATACAGCTCCTGCGCGTGCTTGCTGTACTGCTCGGACGCGTGGACCAGGCGCTTGGTGGGCGACAGGGTGGCGTACGTGCCGATGGTGGAGCTCAGCTGGTGGATGGGCGACGAGGAGATGGTGGACTGCACGGTGGGGGGCGAGGTCACGCGGATCGGGGACAGGCCGGCCGAGGACACGACGATGTTGATGGGCGAGCTGGTGCTGTAGGACTTGGCCAGGCGGCTGGGCGACTGCTTGGGCGAGGAGCCGCGCGGCGCGGCGTAGGCGGCGCCCTCGGGGGCCGAGCCTCCGCGCT